ACTAATTTCTAGCATGTAAGAGAGACAACACTGTTACTCTACCCAGTTAGAAGGTACTCCAACTACCTGGGTTAGTTAACATGCTTATACACATGTCACTATTTAAAAAAAATGAAATGGGGAAGGGAGAAAAGGGACATCCCTTCTGCCCCCATCCACCTGCCTTTCTAGTCTTGATTTTCCACCACCCTCCATTGCACACCCAACACTCTGCCCTACCCATCTAGATGAAGTTCTTGAATCAAGCAGGCTGAAAATAAAAATGGTAGCAACATTTGGACAATTTCTTAAGCTTATTAAGGGAGTCAGGGTAACTGGAGCAGGTCCCCAGCAGGAAACCACACTCTTCTACAGTGAGTGGGACTCAGAGACACAAGCATCATAAGAAACTTTTGATTCATCATTTTTTGACCATCACTCTATAGCTCGTGCTAATCTATTTAAACTTTAGGATGGCACAAACCATTATCTTCTGCCAAACAGAGCCCACGCTTGGATCCCAGGCTTTTTGTATTTTCTCTTGGGTATTTAAGAAATGTACAAGCTCCTGGACTCACCGCCCCCCGACTTGTTCCTCCTGCAGCCCACCATACCTCAGTAAATTGCATCTCATTCTTCCAGCCCACTCCTCACATCAAAATCAAAATCTTTGCTACAATCTCTGGAAACATGTAAGATCACATCTTGCTTCCCATCCCTCTCCCTAACCCCTGCTCCAGTCACATTGGCTTCTTATTCCTGAAACACTAAACACATATTGACCTTACGGGCTTCTGTAACTGTGTTCTCTGCCTGGAATACTTTTCTCCTAAATGTTGCTGTAATTCAAACCCTCATAAGTGTGTTTTTTTTTTTAAAGATTTATTTACTTATTTATACAAGCACTGGGTACAGTCAGAAGCACGGGAGGATGAGAGAATTCACCAGAGCCAGAGCGGGGAGCAGAGCAGGCAGAATGACGATGTACACTGCTGAGGGGAGCAGCGGGTGGCAGGAGAGGTCTGCACACCATGTGGGACCCTCACTGGTGGCTGGGGATCGAACTGGTGCTGCAGAGGCTGCGGGCAGCTTCGCAACCCAGCGCCCAACCACTGCGCCACTGGGAAGGCCCTCATTTAAGTGTTAATTCATATGTCATAACATCCAAAACTACTTTATAGAGTAGCACCAGCTCATCATTACTTTCCCTTCCCGCCCCTTGCTGGATTCTCCAAAGCCCTTGTCACCACTTTACATATTGTATTCTTGTTGTTGTTTTTCCACTCTCACATACTCTCTCATATCAGAACATAAACTACCCTAGGTTTTATTTGTTCCTAAAATAGCACTGACACAAAGTAGGTGCTCAGTAAACATGTGTTATTGCCATTCTTATTTGTCAACTACCTGAGAGTGAGGTGGGTCGTCTGGTTAAACATATTAGATTTATTTTAATTATCCCTTTTAAAATTTTATTTTATATAATTCTTACATCATTTTTCATTTTTGAACAATGTAAGCATTTTCATTTTGGTTATATTCATTGTATAATACCCACTCCCCTTATTTTGGGATTTAATACATGAATTTGTTTCTTTTTAAAACCCCACTAAATTGACAGTAAAGTTTAGAATAAAAAAGAAATTGGAAGTAGGGAAATCAACAAAGCCTTTCCTGACCAACCTATTTAAAATCATACCCTCCCCTTCTCAATCTCCTTATCCTCCCTTTCCTACCCCCACCCATGGCACCTATTCTTTTAAATTATGTAATTTACTTTAAAATCATGTTAATTTCTCAGATCCATCTCTAGAATCTAAGCAAAAGCACAGTAGAATAGTTTAGCCAGTATGCAATATTTTAAGTTCTCAAACAGTACTTAATTCAGTGAGTTCTCAAAAAACAATTTGCAGAATGAATGAATGGAGAATAGAGAAAGACTGTAGATGCTGAGATGATGGAAGAATGATAACCAACCAGGAGGCTGAAATCTAAGCCAGCAAGACAATGGGGTTAGAATTGGCAGAAACAAGCCAGTTCACTCAGCTGAACTGCAAGGTAGCTCTAAAATTGGCAGCAGTGGGAATGAAAGTGGGAATGTGGCCTGAAAGGAAACTGGAGCCACATGGCAGGCAGAGGGCACTAGCACTGGACTCCTGCCGAAAATGAGGCTTCCACTCCCTGTAGAGTCAGAGCAGAAGGATTCTGATTTAAAGACACAGCATGGCTGAGAGTGGGGCTGGGGCATTTGAACAGATGAAAGAGTATCTACTTACCAGAGACCCCTGGCGCTTTCTCTCCATTTGACTTTAAGAAAACCATCGGTTAAGTCGATTAAACAACTCCGTCCTCCAGCACGCTTCCACCAAAGTAACCCTGAAGGAAACTGCTGAGTTTCTCTCTGGTTAAAATTGCTCTGTCCAAGACAAAAGCCGGTAACAGATTTCACAACAGCAACAACAGAAATTAGAAGATCATGGAGTCACGACTGCAACCTACAATTGTTGGCTAAGTGATCAATCAAGTGACTAGACTATTTTTTTTTCAAGACATGAAAAGAAGCAAAATATTTACTCACTATGGATCGTTTTCCAGGAATCCTGAGGAGGATACACTCCACCAAATGATGCATTAATAAAAAAAAAAAAGAAAACACAGATTTAGAAAACAGAACTTACGCAGAAGAGAGGCATAGAGACAGTGAGAATAGAGAAAGGATGTGAGGGCAACCAATATGCAATAGTTCAGATAGTGAGAGGAAAGGAGGGCAGGTCCCAAGAAAAACAATAACAACAACAAAAACCCATAAAAATAAAACAACTGTCAGATTACACAGATGTGATTAAATACTGAGGAGATACACACTTAAATTGAGCAGTTTGAGGATAAAATGGGATTTCTTAACAACCAAGCAAATAAAAAAAGGAAATAATCATTAGCTCTGGGGGAACCAAATTTGTGTATGAAAGGAAGTAAAATTGTAATCTGCATGACTAATTCACAAGTTATATTTATGTTACAACATATAAATACTGAATGACTTTGTCAAACTGTTTGACGGTTGGGAGTACATGAAACAGCTATGAAGAGAGAAGATGAGAGAGCTAAATTGTCTTCCTCCTAGGCAGGAAATTTTAGACCTTATCATACACAAGGGCAAGGATGCAACAGCTAAAATAATCAGCTATTCACTACTCTGGAAGGCACAAACTAAGAGTGAGGATATTATGTCCATTGAGAACAATGCTGCAATAAACATACAGTGCATAAATAGCTTCAAAGTCCTTTTTTCATTTCCTTTGGTTATATATACCCATAAGTAGAATTGATGGCTCATATGATAGATCCCTTCAAGATGTTTTCCATAGTTAGATCAATTTACATTTCCACCAGTGATGTATAAGGTTCCCTTTTCAGCACTGCCTCACCAGCACCTGTGTTGTCTTGTGTCTTTTTTTTTTAAGATTTATTTAATTATGCATATATGAACTGAGGCACAGGCCAGAGGCGTGGGGGGTGGGAGGTGAGAGGATTAACCAGAGACAGGGTGGTGAAAAGAACAGGCAGATTGACCAAAGAACAATGCTGAGGGGAGCAGCAGGCAAAACAGGAGAGGTCTGCTGCGCCATGTGGGTAGCTCCTTAACACTTGCACCACCAGGGAGGCCGTCTTGTCTTCTTGATGATGCCATTCTAACAACCTATATGTCATCAACAGAAGGAAAGATTACTCAATCATGAGAAAAAAGAATATATGACACCATGGATGATCCTTGAGTACATTATGCTAAGTCAGAGAAAGAAAAAACGCTGGCGCTAATAAGTGGAATCTTAGGTGAAATAAATACAAAATTCACAAGACGGAAAAAAAACTATTTAATTCATTTTGTTTTAAAGATACTTTACCATATTTAAATAAATTACTTTAAAAATAAGCTAATGTATCATCTCACCCTAAATGAATGAAACAAATGAGCAAAAGAAAGCTTGATTTAGCACTTGCTTGCACTTTTTATCTCTATTAGAATATATGCCAGGGGTTTTGGATCTGAGATCAAGCTTGCTTGATAGGCTCAAAGAGCAGTTTTTCCTTTTGATCATTTCAGACAATTCATTCTTTTGAATGAGAAAGAGTAGAAGAGGAATGTCAAATGAGGTTAAGTAAAGGTAGAATCTGTCACATAAAGCAAGTTTAACTTCCAGCAACAGCATTCATGCAGGACAAACGGAAGCATTATTCTTCTGAAAACATTTTTCTTTTAAACAGTGTGTAATGACATCCTCCCTAGAGACGTTTTCCATGAAAGAAAAAAAAACTTCAGAAGTCGTTTTTTAGATTCCCAGCATTATGAGTGAAGCATTGCTAAAAGTCAAACCTCTTGTTTTCTTTGTTAGAAGTTTCAAAATTAGAACTGCAAAAAGGTGCTCATAGAACTCTGTGTTTTTGTTTTTAGTTATATACTGGGACAGCTATGAAAAAAAGGACAAGATGAAAAGATTTCCATTACTAATTCAGATCTACAAATTAGTGAGTGTGTCCTTACTGTGAAATC